TGTATGTATGTATGTATGTATGTATGTATGTATGTATGTATGTATGTAACTCTTTTTTAGTGTGTTTTGTATGATATGTAATGTAATGTAACGTAACGTAACGTAGTGTCGTGTCGTGTCGTTCAATGAAATGTAATGTACGTATGTATGTATGTATGTATGTATTTATGTAACTATGCATCTGTGTATGTAATGCCATGAAATGTAATGTCATGGAAAGCAATGCATGTCATGGTATGTAGTGTAATGTAATGTACTGTATTGTATGGTACGGTATGTAATGGAATGGAATGGTATGGTATGTATGTATGTATGTATGCACTAATCTATTAATGTTATTGATGAATGTAATGGATGAATGTACTGTACTGTAGTGTACTGTTCTGTAGTGTACTGTACTGTACTGTACTGCAATGTAATGTATTGTAATGTAAATGTATTGATTGAATGAAGTGAAATGAAGTGAAATGAAATGGAATGGAATGAAATGAAATGAAACGAAGTGAAGTGAAATGAAATGAAAGAATGAACTGAAATGCAATGAAATGAAATGAAACGAAACGAAACGAAATGAAATGAAAGAATCAAGTCAAAGAATGAAAGAAAGAAAGAATGAATGAATGAATGAATGACATGTATGCTTGCATGTATGTATGTTTGTATGTTTGTAATGTATTGTAATGTATATATTGCATGTATTGTTTTGTTTCGTATGGTTTGGTATGTATGTATATTTGCAGCTATTGCATGGCAGTTTCAGAGTTGAGAATGTAAGCCCATGTATCCCCAGTCCAGATCCTGTTGCCACAATCTTATATAGAATCAGTTCCAAGTGAAATAGCAGAGAACTGACAAAATACCTCTGGATGGTTTCCACAATTCTATAAGTGTTCTTCGAGTCCATCAAAAGGACCATCCCCATCCTTGAGCCTGCAAAGGCTTCCAGGGCTGCATCCCTTGCACAGGGCAACAGACAGCAAATCACAAGGCTGGAATTGGCGACCCAGGCGAGGGGAAGCTGACAACAGATCTGAACAGAAACCCGAAGTTCGGGCTGTCCATGTCAGCATGCATCTGTTGAAATTTGACTCTTCTTTGGGTGATCCAGCTGGTGCGATCCCATTCGAGGTCGCGGTGTCAACCGGAGATTCCTAGTTCCACTGTGGCACCGAGACCAGATCAGTTTGGTTTCGGGCACAGGCTTAGAATCCTATGAATTTGCAATGGCCTCCAACGTAGTAGTTTCTTGCTCCTAGTAGCGATGCCCTTTGTTCCTAGTAGTTTCTTGTTACTAGTAGTAATGCCAGGAGCTACTAGTAGTTTCTTGTTATGCAATGCCATTTCAGAAATGTGTGCGGATGGATACAGTACCACGTCTTGTTTGGAATGTCTTATGTTGAATGGAATTCGGAATAATGTTTCAAAAGATAAGAGACCGTTGTGGTGTTTTCCTATTGCCTTTGAGTTGGTCTCAAACGATTTGCCACATAAAATACACCGTTCCCCACTTAAGCATACACTACACAGTCTTGAGGATAGTCAGCAAGCTATTAGAATAATCATGCAGTTTATTCTGCATGCCCTCATGGACAGCGTGTGGCAACATGTGGCAACTGCGTCTGAAGGAGGCGATGAATCAGCTCACTGGCACGCAGGCCCGATTGCCTGCGCCGGTGCCTCAAAGACGGAAAACTCACTTTGGCACCGATTGGTCCAGATCTATTATGATCTGAAAAGGGATTGGACTTGGCTTTCTTGAGAATTGTTTTTGGAGTTGATGGGGTTCTGTTTGGTGCAAGTTCTCAACCTGTGAGTATTTGCAAGTTTCTATCATGTAGTCAACAAGTCAACAAACCGAATGTTCATCCAGACTCCCACTCATTGGGCCAAAAGAGAAGGGCCGAGTAAAAAGCCTTGAGCCGAGCCACTGGAGCGTTAATCATCTTCAGCTCGGCTCCGGAATTCGCAGACGCCCAGTCATTTAGACCGACTCGGACCCTGGCGGAACACTCGGCCGAGGCTCCTGGAGGCCTCAGAGCAGCGTGCTCAGCAGGAGCTTCGCAGGGAGTCGCAGGTGGCAGAGCTCCGCAAGGCGGAGGGGGCCGTTTGGGGTGTGGGAGAGGAAGACTTCTGAAGGAAGACGTCCAAGAATAGTGTTCAAACAAAGATTAAGATGACTACTTATACAATAGCCGCGCTCTTATTGGAAGGAAATCACCAGGAGAGGTTAAGGCAAGAAGACTTAAGGCCTTTTCGAGTTTGTTGTGTCAAGGAGTTGTCAAGAAGGAACACAACTACTTGCAGCCTTACCATCACTTCTGCAGTTACAATGTAACAACTACAAGTCTGAACGCATTTGTCCATCTCCCTTTCCTGCTAGTCAGATGAAAGCTGCTAATGATGGAAAGGCAACGTTTTGGGAGAAAGTTTTGGCGGCATGTTTCCCACTTGGTAGGTACTGTCAGCATCTGTCAGCGATTGGAATATGTTTGACATGATAGCGGCGTATAAAGGCACGATGCAAGGATATGCATGCTTTTTTCGTCGGGGTGGCTAATGAAGGAAGCCAGTCAAGAACAGCCGAAAGAGATAACCTGGGAAGGTTTGGAGCTCCTCGTAGGTGTTGATCCAGGATTTCTCTATATTTCTCTCAAGTCGTTGGAAGTTTGCTTTGATTTTGCCAGGAGTTGATCCATTTGCGGCAGGACTTTGTTCAGTGAGGTACTCAGGACGGCTCGTTTGTCGTTTTCGTTTAGGTGATGTCTGTGAGCAATGATTGGGCCAATCATGCTATTCAGCCCAGCTATTCAGCCGGTTTCATGGACTGGTAGACTCGGACTAAGCCAATGAAACGAGTCTGCAGCCTGCTCACGCAGCTGTGGCTTGAGACAGATGCTCTTTTTCAAGAGCAGCGATTCCTTATTTCAAGACGCTGAGGTTTACCACAGATGGAAGTGAAGCGCCTGGCAGCATGGACGAGAAGTTTCATTCCAGCAAGAGTCTTACGCTCTTCGATTCCAGTTCTGACAGTGAAGCAGCGCCACTCACAGACTGCAGTCCTTGACGTTTGGTTGGAATGTTCACTGAAGCCAAAAAGAGTTGGCTGACGTTTCTTCGCCTGAATGACCTGAATGAGGACTATCTGCAATGCAGGATACCCTCATGACACTCATCGAGAAAGAGGTGCACACCGTGCAATCAAGGAACATGTGAAGGAGATTTGCAACAATTCAGGATTTTGTTGCCTGTAGATGTGATTGTAGGCCTGTAGGCCTTCAAGCCAAACCAACATTACAATAATGTTGGAGGCCAAAGAGAAGAACCAGGCAGTCGACGCGCTGTCGAGCCAAATCCAGACTCTGTGGGCACCTGAGCAATGTTTGAATTCATTTGGAGAATTGCGATGGGATATGGCAGGAGATGGACAAACTGAAACTGTGTTTGATTGTCATGTTGGGAGCCTGGTCCTTGCGGGCCAGTGTAGATCTTCCGTTGCATGACTCTTGACCGTGTCATGTCTCATAGCAGCAGATGGCAATAAGAGTGTTGCACGTTGTCGGAGGCAAGAAAGGCTCCGCAATGCAGAGATGACTGGCAGCTCTGCCAATCCCCTTAGTGCTGACGATTTGGATCTTGACAGCACATGCACAGACTGCGGCAGAGGTGCCTGTAGATTGCCCTGGGACCATGTCCAAGATCTGTCCTGGAAAGTGAGTGCTAAATGAAGCCACCAGCTGCAGACCAGGCCAGCACCTTTGTTGGGGACCTGCAAATGTTGGCGCAAGACTTCGTTCGGGGTGCCAAGATTGGCCCAGCGTGAATGGATGGAATGGTCTGAGTCTTTGTCTTGGTGGATCATGTGCAGTTTCTGATCATAAAAGCTACCATTGTGGATGTTCCACTTAGGCGACCCTTCGTGGAGAGGCGGCTGGCTGCACCAGCATCTCAAACCAGAAGTTCAAGAATCCATTGGGTTCTCTCAGAATGGACGACTTTGATCTGATATCTCAGTGAATTGATGTGCTTGCAAGTCCCTCGTCCAAGCATTTGATTGAGCATTGGATGCATGTTTTCCCAGTCTGCCCGTGCTGATGTGGAGCTCAGAGAGCGCATGGCCAGGCCAGCGTGGTCGTTTCAAAATGGGCTTTTGGGGCTTAGCAACTAGAGTAAGCGTGTGTATATCACGAAGCACACGAAAAGGTTAGGAAGTGATGGAATCGACGGGTCAGACAGAAGATGTATAATTTCATGTTTGATTGAACAATAACTAGAAACACACATATACAGTGTATATATATATATACATCCAATGTATTGAAAACAGGCCTGCATGAACAATTGCCACAAGTCATCAAGAATGAGGGTTCGAACTTGCAGCATGATTGAGAGTAGAGTTGAGAATTGGGAACTTTGGCAGATCTTTTGCCTCTTTGATTGGGGACTCGACACATCTCAGCTTGGTGGCCTGGCTGCCCAATGCCATGGCGTCGATGGCAACTCGTGGCTTGGCCCGCTGGCAGAACGTTCTTAGGCCCGAAGTGTGCAGGGCACTGCGGGCCGAGGCAATCACAATGCTCCAAGAGGCATGCTATGTTCTGGTGATTTTTGTGATTTGTGTGCTTCAGCCCAGGACCTGAACAGCGCCAAAGCTGATGTTTCATGATGTGCCGTAAAGATAGAGTCCCGTCATCCGAAGAATAGGAACATAACAAAAGTCCGAGTTGTACTTGGTCTGTGTGTTTTCAAATTGACAGATGCTCACAGCTTGCTCAGCTGAAAGGTGTCCAGGCCGAGCTTGAGGGCCGTGTGGCACAACTTGCAGCGCTGGCTCTTGGATCCGATCCGTGAACCGAAGGCGCCTTCAGTCAGCTTAGTCGCCTTTAATGAATGCACTATCCTCTTGCAGTCTATTCTGTCGTGAAAGGTGTATCAAGACAGCCAGGAGGGCCCCATGCAATTAATCAGTGTGGATGACCACCAGAAGCGATTTTGTGGGAGTGTAGGCCTAACCAGCGTAACGAGTGAGATGAGGAAGGTTTATCCTAACATATTCTGGCGAATGTGGCGAAGCAATGTGAAGCATGTTGTATTACATTGAAAAACATCAGATGTTGCAAAATACAATTTGGATCTGAGAAATGCATCTTTTGCTCTATTTCAGTTGTTTTTTGGACCCGAGTTTTGATCTGATCTTTCAAACCTCCGAGTGGGAAACTCTCGCAACCTCTGAAGCCTCACGAGGCACGGCACATCCTGCGAACGCCGCTGACGCGCTGCGTGCGCGATGGCCTTGAGCCTTTGGCGCTGCTGGCAGCTGAGCTCGGCCTTCGGCCGAGTGCCAGGTGCAACGCCACATGCGATGCGGGCACAACGGGTCAGGTGAGATGGGTCAATGAGGCTCACAGGTGATGCTCATGCTTGAGACCGATTACAAAGGTGTGTGGAGAAGAAAAACATAAGTTACAGTCACAAGTAAGATAAGTAAGTAGATAGATTGAAGGTCAGCAACGTGTTTGTTTGGAGAAATATCAGGCACAAAATATATCACGGAGCAGCGGTTTCTTTTGTTGCTTCCTCTCCTTTGCGCATTGATTTCCATGACTTGGAGGCTGGTGGAGCTGAACTTTACCATAAGTCTGCCGGGCGCACCAGCTCAGCAGCCACACAGCGACATCTCACCAATGCAGTCGTTGCCACGCGTTTTGGCATGATTTTCGATCAGATCAAGTGCTGCGTTGGCATTGTGTCCAGAGTAACCTTTGCGAAAACCAAGTGCAAGCCCTTCCCAGAAAGACAAGGCATTATCACCTTCTGGGCTGCTTTGCAAGACATTGACTTGTCAATGGGCCCCACTGCGAAGCTCGTCACATTCACGGCTGTATGATGCTGTATGGTTGCTACTGTTGTATCCTTTTGTGGCATACTGTGACATGATCGAGATCAGGCCTCAGGGTTTTGTTGTTATTTACGTGTCCGTATGCAAGGCTTGCGGCCTTTTTTGCCTTGTTGGTCTTGTTTTCGAGTCCAATTCGTTCCAATTCAGGATATGGCCAGGCTCCCATGTGCTTGCCAAGGACTTTATCAGTCTCCCGTCCGATCCCAGGTCTCCCAAGGGATGTGAGTTTTGTTCGGCCAGTGTATAGTTACACTATTTGATTGATGCCCTACTAGTAGGTTTTAGCACAACCTTCCATAGAAGGTCAATGTTGAAAAGTGGACAGCAAGTTGTTCGATCACGTTTTTGCCGGTAGAAATTCTCCTTGATCTGCCTTGAAGACACTTGTTCAAACCCTTCAGAGTCTCGAAGACAACCAAAGTGATACGAGAACAAAATGCAAATCAAGTCAACCAAGTTTGGGCATCTCAAGCGGTTTCCCAAAGGTCCACGGTCAATTGTTTAGCCAAGGCAGCTTGCCTGAAGAGCTTCAAAAGCCAAGACAAGTGTCAAGCCGGCACTTGAAGCAAGTTGGATGAAGTCGGCATGATTCCTTTGGAATGCTCAGTGCACCCTAGTGCGGTACAAGTCTAGCTGCTGGCTCAACTGCTGTGACAAGTCACATAAGATTGAATTGACACCCACACGTTTTGTGTCTAGGTAGAGCGCATTCGTGGGGCATGTCGCCGAGTATCACTTGACATGCGGCGTTGTCAATTCCTTTGGCTTTAGGCTACTTCAGCAGGGGAGCTGCTCCGGCATATATCTATATATATATAATGAATGTAGAAGACTCTCCCTCGATCAAAAGTCCTTCTTGGTGTCTAAGGTGCCTGAGTACATATATGTGGAGGGTGAGCTCCAGGCTGATCAGCTGCGGATGAGTTGTATTGTACTGTATGTCCCATGAAAGATCAGTCCAAAAAGCTGGGGGCATCCAGGGCCCAATGGTCAAACCGGTGCCCTGCCGATCAAATGAAAACCCTCCTGACAAGCGACATGTTGCAGCCAAGACTGGCTGTCTATTGATCCAACTACGCCCAAACCTACATGGAATTGGCAAACCCTGTTACTTCGAGTGTGAACGAAAACCTGCACACATACCAAATGGTGAGCATGTCCCAATCGGCATCACAACAGAAGGATTCAAATCCTGCCCTACACACCCAAGCCTGAAGCCCGCAGCCGCAGGCCGTTTCTCGCTTGGGGCAGCCCATTGGAGAAGAAGAGCTTGAGGAAGAAAGGCCATCACAAACCGTGGAAGATTCACGGAGGTCGAATCCAGTTTGATTATTTTGAGGGCAGAGTGCTATTGTTCCCGTTGGATTGATTGGAACAGATTGAAACCATTTGAAAGGTATGATTTCGGGGGGGAGCTGGATTACTCTTTTGAACTCTACTTCATGTTCCTTCCATGGGATCGGTTGTTGCGAAAGGATTGAAAGAAGTCTTGCTGAGAGCTGATAGGCCCTTGCCTTCTCACTGATCAATGTTTCACTGGGTGCCTTCGCCGTACCCTATCACCCCTAGCCAAGAAGGGCAGCAGATCTTCCGAGGCCGACCTGGTGGAGGTCAGTTGTTTTCCGAACCAGGGGCTGGCTGTTTGGTATGACAATGGAGATTGAATCAACCCAAGAAGTGGCACCACCAAAATGCCAGGATGATCGCATGATGATCCCGTAAGTCTTGATCCCAGCAACTCTACTACTGGCTACGATACTTGCAAATACTTACCACCTTCTTCAGGAATGACAGACACCCGCATCGGTCTGATGGTCGGAGGCGGCAGTCCGCGGAGGCGGCGGAGCAGCTGTTGCAGGTGATCACCCGGACGCCCCCGGAATTCATGTCAATGGAGGTTGGTGATGTGGCTCCTTGGCATCGAACTGAGTATGAATCGTATGAGTTTTCATGTTGCGGCCACTACAACAGCCGACCTGGAAAAGTATATATGAAGTGTGAGTTTGGCACTCTAAGTGCTACTGTACTCGCTGTACCGTACCAGGCTGTGTTCGCCCTAGCCCTGTCAGGTGGCAATGGACTGCAGGGTTTTCCATCAGGGTGGTGCCAACATCTCCTCGAAGACCCGAGTACTCTTCAATGCTTCTTTTCAGTTGGACGAAACTTGGCTGCTCAAAGTAGAAAAATAAAGGTAAACAGTCCGCCTATCAGGCTATCAGGTTGAGGTCTCTAACTGCTTGCGCTGTTAATATGTTTCCTTCTCCTCTCCCTCATGCTGCTACATTTGACGGCACATGGTTACTCCCAGAACTCCATGTAGTGGCTTCATGCAACACGAGATACGAAATGTGTTGAAGAATGTTGAAGATATATGGTGAGCCCTTAACAGCCTCAAAGCCTCCAAGTAATCTCCTGAAATCACTCCTCGAGGATTTGCATTGCCTGAAATTGCCTGAAATATGGGATTTCTGGAAGGAGGTTAGCATTCTTCTTTCAACTTTCGGACGAGCAAGAATGAAAAAGAGTTTCAAGTTTCAACACCTTAGACTTAGATATTATATGCGACTGTTGATGAGCCGGACTTTCCAGTCAAACACCTTTTAGCGTTTTGTTGCATGGGGCATCCTTGCGGAGCGGTGGGTCATATCAAACTACTTGATTCCCTTGCACTTTTGCCTCAGGAGAATTACGACGACAGTCTTTCTTGCGGCAACCAAACAGTGAGCCCAAAGATTCATGGCTTCACATACCACAGTTTGCCCGAAGTCTTGCAAGCAAACTATCGCATCAGTGATTTCACCGATCCTGAAAGCCTGCGAATTTGCACAAAAGGCCTCTTCCTGCAGTGCACGTGACCTGACATGGAGCTTACAGCTGTCTTGACATAGGGGATAATAGAAGTGATTCGCATTGGATCTGTAGTGGTGTTTTGTTGGTAGAGATCACCAATGTGGCAGCTTTCACTGTATTTCTTTTCACATCTTCACTGAGAAGATTGGGAGCCGCGGCCACGACCTCACAGGGGCGAGCGAGAGCTCAAGGCAGAAATTCGGGCAGCCCAGCGCTTGTTGCTTGAGGCGTGGCGCATCGTGGAGATTGGTGTCATAGTCGTGATGCATGTCTTCAAATAGATGAGATCTGTCAGACTCTATGTCGTGATACATACAATATATATATATAGTGTATATATATATATATATGTGTGTATGAACGTATTGTATAGGTAGGCGTATAAGTAGCACATGTGATTGCATATGGGCCGTGATCAACCGTGCAAGTCAGACAGTTGTTGGCTTTCATGGCCTAAATGAGGGCGCAAGACCATAGCGGATGTCTGTTTGCATTTGGCTCCAGCAACAACAATTTTCATCGATTTTGCTGTAGCTGTGTAGCTCTGATTCCAATGGCTCGCAATTCTTCAGTCCTTCTACGATTCTTGGCAGCGGCAAGCCTGGCTGTGCTTGCATGCCAGTATGTTGGCACTGTCTTCGTCGGCGCTGGCCTTCGAGGCAGTCGGCCAACATCTATGCCACGCCAAGTGGGTGTGGATTACCTGCTGCGAAATGGTCCTAAGGATGCCGACCCACCCTTGATCAACACGGCCACGGCGGCTGGGGCACCGCATGAAGTGACCTTCAAGAAGCGTCCTTTCGGCATCGCACGCTATGCTCCTGGCTCGACCGGCACGGGTGCCGTCGTAATGGAGGTCACGCCAAAGTCGCGCTACCCCGGTGATCCTCAGGGCCAGGCCTTTGTTGCCGGGGTCCAGCCTGGTTGGGTGGTGAAGTCGGTGAATGGCCAGGATGTGACTGGAATCCCTTTCGAGCAAATCATGGAGTCTTTGGATGATGAGGTCTTGGATCCAGTGGCTGCCCTGAGCTTGAATCTCAAGGAGTCAGGCACCGTGACCAACTTCGATTCATCTACCCAGGCAGACAAGTCCTATGGAGCGGTGGGAGAGAGCACCTTCCAATTTGGTGGAGGTCAGAAGGCCGAACTGCCAATCACCGTCACTTACGTGGAGCAACGGTAGAATGATCAGCTAGCAAAACGTGGAATATCTATATCTCTTTGTAGAGTGTGATGTGTCACAGCCAAGACCCAAGAACTTTCAAGCATTTGCCTTGAAGGCTCGCTTTTCTACAGACGAAAGCAGAAAACATGTGCAATTTGTGCCAGTCAGCTAGTCGACGTTAAAAGCTTTGATTCACGATCGTAATCACATGATCGCCGATGTTGAGGTCCCAAAGGAACTTGGGTCTTGAGACACATACATCAGTTATGAGTTATGAGTTCCGGTTTGCAGCCCGGGACAATTTTTGGGAAGAACAAATTGAACAAATTATGACATTTGACACATGACACCCAGGTAGCTGAGAGTGCTCGTCACATCTCACCTGAGCGGCTCACCGCGACACAGCTCTCAAGTCTAAAGGCGGCCGGGATCCTCAGTGAGCATAAAAGACGTTGTTTTAAAGCACAATTATCGAAACCAAGACGTCTTATCTCATCTCCCCTCCATTTGGCTGAGGCTCCGCCTGAGCCAGCGTCCCTCCCAGCTCTACCGGGCTTTGGCAGCCAGGGTTGGGGCACCAAAGATTTGTGTTGATCAAATGTTGGCGCTGGCGATGAGACCATCGCTACTAGTAGCAAGAAGCTACTAGGTGGAGGCCATCGCTATTAGGTTGGAGGCCATCGCTACTAGTAACAATAAAGCGGTTTTTATCGTGTTCTTTTTTTGAATTGATGGTCCAGCGATCAGACCAGACTTGCACAGATTCTGATTCCACTGTTTAGGTATCAAGAACAGTTACAGTACAAAAATTGTACTTTGGCTGCAGACAGTGACAATCTTTGTGATACTGTGATACCTTTGGTTTCAGCCTCAGCCTCTATGATTTGTCCCATCTCCAAGCAAATCCTGCCGAAGCTTCATCCTTCTCCGGCAGCTGTGACCTTAGCATGTGGGGTCACAGGTTCTGGTGATTCCATGGGAGTCCAGCTGGATGTCGGCACCTTGACCGTGCACCAAGATGCTGTGGAGCGAAGGGACTTGCGCGAAGAAAGAGTTATATATATATATGTTGGGTAGGTGCATTTGTCAAAAGATCAGATGAGTCCTTGGTCGAAAGTTGCCGCTTCTCGTCAACCACTTGTCAAAGCTACATAGGCATTGGCATCTCTGGGACCTAGCCAATTGGATATGGCCTCTGAAATGCTGGGATCCCAACAGGAGTGGAATGTTCCTGGAGTTCGTGCTCGCGCACGAGCAGAAGCCTGAGACTGCTGGAGCTTCTCTTCAGTAGAAGGAGGACTAGCAACACAAACACTGAGGACAGACATAGAGCATTGCTGTCAATGCACATTCCTTCTGATCCTTTGTTAAACGGGTGGGTGCCCGATTGCACTATCTAACTTTATCCTTGTCAAAGAGTAGCAGGCTTTTGACCAGAGCCACAGCGGCCGTAGCAACCACACTTTGCTGCAGTTGGGTACGGTACCTCCGCTCATCTCTGAAGCCTTCGTCCAGGGCCCAGAGAGGGTCGTTTGATGTCGTTTTTTAGAATCAGATGTATGAAAATGTGATGTTAGGTTGGAGGCCATCGCTATTGGGTTGGAGGCCATCGCTACTAGTATATCTACACTTGTTGGATCTTGTTGGTAACATAATAGATGGGATTGATCACAACAGGCAAGCATTGACATGTATGTGATTGTCCGGTAATCCAATGCTTGGTACCATCACTTGGCACGTGATGGTAGGTTTGGGCAAACCATATAATTATGTGTTGCTTTATGAACTTTCTGTCTAAGAAAGTTGATTGGTGTGATTATGTAATCTCTTGGTTCCCGTTCACAATCGCAACGAATAACCAATTACATTCAGTGTCAAGTGCTCGACCATGTGATGAAGCTTTTAATCGGGGACCGGTAGAGAAGGACCCCGAGACTCTGTTGGACCGCAGGAAGTGGAGCGCTTTCCAGACATCAAGGCTGTTTGTTACCTGTTGTACATTTTGTTCAGAGTGTCATGTGGTGAAGTTGTTAGCCCTGCCGATACTTGTATACTCGTGTACAGTAGAGACTTGGTAAAGGCCATAAATGCTTGTTCCACGAGCACGCACTGTCGCAGGTTCTGACAGAGGGCAGTCGACACAGTGGGTTGCTTCGATATCGCATGCTTGTAGGCATCTCTCATGTCCCAACTTCAAAGCAAAAGGGTTCTGATATAGTCTAAGCATGTCTAAGCAAAAGGTGCCATGTTTTCTTTTCTTGTTTAGATTGGTGTCATGTCTTCTCCACGTTGGAGGCCTTGCGGCTGAAGTGCCTTGACTGAAATGGCTGGACTCTGGCTGTGCTATGCAATCGTCGATCGTGCTGCCCTCACGGGCTGAGGATCTTCCCTTTGGGTTCGCGCCGGCGAACCAAGCCTGGCCATTGCTCTTTGTATCTCACTGGGCCGCAAGGCCCAAAGAAGAGCGCTTCTGAGATTCAGAAGAGCGCTTTGATTGAAAACTTCCCCATTCCGGCTTTCATCAATTTCACATTCACTGGTGTCCCGGTGTTCGCGTCCGTTTTAACAGTCGGTCGCTTCACAGGTGCACATCTTCAATTTATGCTGCGCATGGGCTCTGTGAGTTTCTCAGCGAAGCCACAGCACATGGGTCTCAGAGCCTCGGGTTGTTTGCAGTACGTCTAAAAGGATCCCATCACCAAAACGGATTCACCAAAACGGATTGGTGAAACCCTTTCTTCGTTAGCAAACTGTAGCAGCAAAGCGACAATACAAGCGTGGTGGGTGGTGGGTGTTGGAGAAAGTCGGTGGTCGTTTTGCAGTCCTTGAAGACCTTTCAGGTGGAGCATGGCCCTTTGGAGTGCATTTTTGACCGACCGGAGAAGGACTGCATGACCACCGTTTCATCCACACTGCCTTGTTTGTGGCTGGGGTGTTCTCATAAAGCGGTAGCAGAATTGGAGATGAGTTCTGAGTGGTTTGACATGTTGATCACCAAACACTCAAAGCATTGACACTTTAGCAGTCTTCCCGTCTTGCTATTTTTTGATACCAGAGCATTGGGTGAGCCAACACCCCGAGTTTCGAGCGTTTGAGGACAGCGGTCGCCATGATTTTTGCGTTTTGGAAGATGAACTGGAGGCTCGTCGCGGGGTATCGCAGGGTGTCACCCAGGCCTAGCAAGACAGGTGTTTATGTTTAGATAGTTTAGATATGTTTTTGTTTGGTTTAGTACTGGTATTTGGAGGAGGTGGCCAAAGTTTCTTTTCCAGCAAGGAGAGTGCGGGCCCATATATTGTTTACTGTATTTACATGCGTATATATATATAAATATATATATATATTTATTTACTATATATGTTTACAAATGGCATGCTGACACGAGAAGTACAGGATTTTGACTCTGGGCAGCGCGCTCAATTGGATATTTGCACAGGTAGACGGCAGTGCTCTGGCACCTTGCCTGCACGGATGCAGTGACAGCTACAGCGCTCTGGAACATGACAGGAGAGGTTCCAAGTAGACTCCACCTACACCTTACATCCTAGTAGCGATGCCAGGAGCCCCTAGTAGCGTCCTTGTTACTGGTAGTAAGGCCAGGAGCCCCTAGTAGCGTCCTTGCTTCTAAGAGCGATGCCAGGAGCCCCTAGTAACGTCCTTGCTTCTAAGAGCGATGCCAGGAGCCCCTAGTAACGTCCTTGCTCCTAGTAGCGATGCCACAAAAGAGATGTTGCAAGTTCCGAGGTCCACTTGACTGTACTACGTGTAGCTGGCTGAATTGATACATGCCCATCATTTCATTTGACAATTAAACTTGACTAAACGTAATTTGCTATATTATCATTGGATAAGTTCCTGGATGTAAAGCTACCCATTGCGGTTCAGCAGTTCAAGTCACACCTTAGCCATTGCACGAATTGCTTTCCCATAAACCAGTGAACTAGTACTCGTATCTCACTCAGCGTGCTGATACACTGGCTTTTGCCAGGGGCTGATTTGGTGGCCGCAGGGACATGAGATTTTGATGACATGAAGGCTACTGTCCAAGACTGCGTTGATTGGCTGCTTCATGTGCAGGAAAGCAGAATACAGCATGTCAAAGGGCTCGCTTCGTATCTAGCACAAGTGTATAGACTTCAAAAGACCTCTTCACGCTTCAGATCAATCCTCGTGCTTGTCAGGACAGCCTCAGCTTCAGGAAGGTTTCGGCCATTGAATTCTAAGATTCTGATCTGATGAAGTTCCAGTGCGCAACGACCCTGACTGTGCAAAGTGTCAATGGCAAGCAGCAGATATGCTCCTAGCCTTCCAAGCGCACATCTGTGCACAATTACTCGCACTTGCCACAGATTTGAAGATGGAGCCCACGAAGCAGAGTTGGAAGCGGTCTCAAGATCAGGCTCCATTGACCAGGCTTTGAATCGACTGCGCTGTTTGGGATCGACCAGGATTCGCGCAGAGAAGTCTGCGAGTCTCAAAATAGGGGGCAGCGGCATAATCTCTTGGTAGGTGAAGGCATGCTGAAGGCAGAAGTATACAACCATTACTGGTACTGATCTAACCAAAGGTTGGCACACCATGGCACATCCATGTCAAATTCTGTCATATCTCAGGTCTACTTGCACTAGTGCTGGACTGTTTGAATGTGCACTTCGGTTTGGGCGCTACTCGTTGAGTCTATTGAGCGTGGCACTGCCACGGTCTGGGATGTCATTTGCACTGGATACCTAGCAGGTTGGCTCACATCATCTTTCCACCGCAGCGTATCTTCAAGGTGAAGACCATGAGGCAGTGAATCAACACAGCTTGTCAAAGGTGGTAAGGTTGATGACCTAGAATCCGCTCAAAGAGGCTCAAGAAACGGTTCCTGTCATATCGGTTCACTGACATGTTAGGGCTACAAAAATTCGACAGATATTTTTGCGGTGTCAGCAAAGCGCCGAACTCAAGTGACGTGTGTCCTTCCCTTGACATCATCTCCACGTCCCTCCAAAAACACCCCTTTGTTCACTGAACGCTTGAGAAATCACCTTTTTCCCTTTGGCGGGAGACGGCCGGACCAGGCAGGGGCGTCTTCAGTTAGAAGCCACATGACATCCGAAGGGGCGCAGGCGACTACTCAATGAAGTAAGCTACTTACGCATACTTGTTACATACTTAAGCATACTAGGTAGGACGCTACGTTCGTCATTGGACGCAGGCGATAGCTTTGTAGAAATCTTTCATTGGAGAGAGCCTGTTTTGAAAAGTTAATAAAAGTCAAAGAAAAGTCGATCTCAAAAGTCAAAGTCAAAAAATATCAAATCAGAAAGTTTCAGAAAGTCAAAAAAAAGTCAATTTGCACAGATCCGACTTTTGTTTGACCTTTGTTCGATTTTTTTGACATGTGTTCGGCGGTTTTGTTGTTTTTTTAAAACCTTTGTTAATGTTTTTGGACTTTGTTTGACTTTTTTCGAGTGGTTGGCGGTTTTTACTTTTTCGAGTTGTCTTGTTGATTTTGACGTTTAAAAAAAAATAACACATGTTTTGACGTTATTTTGTTTATTTTTTTTCTTTTTGGAGCTGTGGTCTATGTTTACTGTTTGGACCTTTCTTTACTTTGACTTTTCCATTTGACTTTTTTGACTTTGTGTATCAAGGATTCTGGCCTTACCATATGAAAGTTTTTGTAACGATAGCTCCTACCAAAACGCTTCTTCAAGGAAGCTTCCTTGTAGAACCGCTCGCACGAATGATTTGGTTCGTTGCCATGTTGAGGGAAACTTGGAAAGGAACAACAGGGACTGGCAGAGTGTCTTGTGTCTTGTTGCATGCTCGGTGGTTGATATTCCTCAAGTGTGCAAATTGGAGAAGCACAGGGTAGATCAACCAAGGTATCCTGGTTTTGACCCACAGCAACTTGTGCTCCAATTTAGGTTTCATCAAGAGAAAATGTAAACTTCTCTACGGTGCCATCTTGTGCCTCAGCAGCGTCCAGGCCATGGGCAATGCCGTGGACTTGGCAGGTTTGCAGGCCCCGAAGCCACAGAAGAAGGCCAGGATGAAATGGATGAATGTCCGTCAAAGCTTGAAGCACCATGACTGTAGTACTTGAAGTACTCAGTTGATGACAAGTACCAAGGCCTTGAAAAGCCAAATAGCTGGCATGTGTGATCCACCGAGGTTGTTGGATGTGTTCATGAGGCCTCCTCACTTCTAAATTCTTTGACCTATTCTGATGTGCATCTTGACACTTCGAAGAAGCAGTGACAAAAAAAAAACAGCCACCGACCTCATTGCACGCCATCCAAATGCTGCATGGTAGCAAGCTTGAAACTGCAAAGCTTGATGAGAGCTAACGAAAATCCGGAATTGAAGCTGCAAAGCTTGAAGAAGTGTCCCATCACGCTGAACAAGTGAGTGCTTCCAACATTGAAAGTGCTCTTCCATTGTGCACGGACGCATCATGATGCATCCACGTCCAGGGACGGGCTTCCAGTATGGTGCTGGTTGTGGGGCACATACGAAAAGCAGGGACCCCAAGTAGAGCGGCTTCCCCGTGGCTGTGTTGTTGCTCCTTTTTGGGAGATGATCCTTATGATCCTTAACGTCGCATCAATTTGGTCCACGTCACGTGGATTTGTGTTCCCGGTAGCACCACCTCGACTCAAGCTACACCTTGTGGCTGAATGTGGCTGATATGTTCTGCTGATCACTTTAGGAACTTCGCCGGCCAAAGTTCTGGACTGATTTTAAATGTTCTGAATCTGAGGCAGACCAGAGTGGACCTGAGAGCGTAGCCGAACGCCGGGTTGAAGTCTGGGTACAGGCGGGCCAGCATGTCAACACCGTGTCCAAGGATCCTCGTTTAGTTTATATACATCCAAGTCTAAGTGATCATGTAGAATGTAAATTCAGCCGAGAAAAATTCCTTCATCAAAGCAAATTTGGCTCCACTTGCTTGCGTGGTCCATCCATTTGTGAGGCTGACAAGCATGCAACAATTGGTTGGGCCAGGGACGCAGAACTGACCTTTGCGCAGTCTCAAAGATGCATGAGATTCAGACGGGAAGTTGAAAGGCTGAAAGGGCAGAGGTTTTTCACACATGTTTCAGCCTGGCGTCCTCCTAGCCACGGAGTGATTTCCGAGGTGCTGAGTCGTGTGATTGAAGAATTGACGAGAAAAGAGGCATGTGTGTCTTGGTGTTTCGCGGTGCAGTGCTTTGTTGCCCTTCAAGATGTATGGGTCCAAACAAACCACCTTCCATGCCCAGACTCGGCGCAGATTTGTTGCAGACACCCAGCCAGCCGCATCAACCGTGCCAGCCCGACGCGCCCTCCATCGTGGGCCTCCGCGTGGTCAAGGGTGGCGCCAAGCTGGATGGCGTGAACTTGGCGCGTTGTGGATTCACCAGAAGACGGGACGTGGACCATTGGACCATGAGAATTGAGAGACATGAGTTGTCCACAGGGAGCGAAGAAAGACATATCTGGCAACACTTTGCTTGCCGGGCGTACCAACGTCAGAATGTTTTTCCACGGGTGTGATTTGAGTGAGTAAAGATGTCTATCAGGGCAAGTAAATGAAGACACGTGCATCAGAAGGGAAGGGGAAGGGCAGGGGGGTTGGGAGAGGGAGGGAGGGAGGGAAGGAGAGAAGGAAGGAGGGACAGAGAGAGAGAGAGAGAGAGACAGAGACAGAGACACACACAGAGAGATAGATCGCGGGATGGGGAGAGGGAGAGAGACTGAGCAATCTATATAAAATGTAGGTTTGCATGTGCTTAGGTATGGACGATTATATAGATGAATTTCTGTGCCTGGAGCTATCCGCTGCAATGTGCAATGAAGTCAGGAGTCTCGCCGAAGGACCTTTGTTTAAAGATTTACCTCTAATGGTAGTACTATTTACTCCAACATCCAACAGTACAAGAATGAGATATGTTAGATATCATTAATGATATGGACCATACTTGCAGAGGATGTGTCCCGCAATTGAACCGCTTCAGCCCCTGGCAGACAATTTGGCAGGGTGGTGGGGCATTGGGTTGCTTGAACATCGCTTGAACTCGTCATTTTTTGGTTGAATTTAATTGAACCTAATTTAGTTATTGTTTCTAAGAGCAAACATTGTTACTACTAGTAAGGCACTTGTTACTAGAAGCGATGCACTTGTTACTAGTAGCGAACATTGTTTGTCAAAACCATGGACCTTGGGGCAGTGTACTTTAACAGTCACTCAATGAGCATCAGAGTACCTTGAAGGACGGCAGTAATCAAAAGTGAGTCAGCTGAATGCTGCCAAAGACTAACCGCCCCGATTCTGTTGGTCATGTGGGTTGGGAAAAGATAAGAAAGATAATAGAGACAGATAGGGACAGACAAACACAAAGTCGTGAGGGGGAGCGGAAAGAGAGAAAAGAGATGAGGGGATACATTACCTATTATCATATCCAATCATAATAGATCGATAGATAGATCGATAATTAGATCGATAGATCTTAATGAAGCTATTAGGTTGGAGGCCTTCGCTAGTATAAGATATACATGGGGTATATACTTATATATATGCAGTATTGTGCAGTATGTTTCTCAATTAATGAAGCTGAATGAGACCCCAGGAAAAGGAGGCCCCCCTCTTCGCGCCACGAGTCCTAGGGATCGAAAGCCCCTAATCTGAAGCGCTCAGAGAGTGGAACCACACGGTGTTAGATTCCGCAAGCCGTTGATACGGTATATAAATGGTATGCGCATGAGTCACACGATCATAATAGATGATAATAGATGTATCCTTTTTATGAAGGTGTTGCTGCTTTCACCAATCGGCCGTGGTCTTTGCGCACAGATTCCCGGCCAGGAATCTAGCGTCCGGGGCGGCTCCACAGCCAGGCCAGTGCGGGCAGTGGGCAAGAGGGAAAGTTGACTTTGGTTTCGCCTTCTCAATGTCTTCGATGGACCAGTCGAGTAGCGAAGTAGTATAGAAGGTATGGCGGGTGGTAAAGTCCATCCCACTCGCCACTTGAAGCGTTCGTTGTCTT